AGTAAGTGTGTGTATGTATGTATGTACAGTATGTATGTATGTACAGTATGTATGTATGTATGTATGTATGTATGTATGTATGTAGTGGCAGGTGTGAGTGCACTTGACAGGAAAGGTAAACAAGATGAGAGTTTTATGATGAGGTTTTTGGTCTGGAGATCGTCAGGTTAGGTTAGGTTAGGTTAGGTCAGGTTAGGTTAGGTTAGGTTAGGTTAGGTTAGGTTAGGTTAGGTTAATCTTCAAGTCATCCATTATTTTGGTCGACTGTCTTGCTGATATAGAGGGAAGAGAGGAGAGATAGATAAAGAGTGGAAGAGAGAAAGTAGGGAAATGGACAAAGGAGAGAGAGAGAGGGGGGAGAGGAAAGGAGGAGGAGACATAGAGAAAGGGAAAAGGGAGATAAAGAAGAAATGAGGAGCGAGATATAGAGAGAGAAAAAGAAGAGTAAATAATCACAATGCAGACAGGCAGAGGGAGAGAGAGAAAAAAAGGAAGGACTGACAGAAAGAGAAAAAAGGAGAATGTGAAAGAAATTTTGAGAGCAAGAAAAATGGAGAGAGAGAGAGAGAATAGATGAAATGTCATAAATAAGATCTTACGTCACAGCACATGATAAACACATCCCTCCCTCATTCTCCCTCACTCTTATTCACTTCTCTTCTCTCTCTCTCTCTCTCTCTCTCTCTCTCTCTCTCTCTCTCTCCATATACACCCTCTTATATAATCATTACTATAGGCGTTATTCTGCCATCGTAAACTATCGCTATATTCATCAGAGGTGTTATAGTATTATAGCATATTATATAATGAACAATATAAGCGTTATTATACTATACCCTGGAATATAGTCTCTGTTATACCCTATAGGAATATTGTCCGTATTTAAGTTAATGTATCAATGACGATTATACCAAGTCGTATAGGAAACACTATTCGTGTATATGCGAGACGTTATAATTAGTCCTAAAGAATTACACTCTTATTTATAGCATCATTCGGTGGGATATATCATTAAATATAATCCATAAGAAAGAACGACACAAATAATCATCAGTATAGTCAGTAATATAAGATTATAGCCTCGGGTATATGAGGCGTTATAGCCAGTATACTCGACAGGAATAGACTCGGGGAGTATAGCTGGCAGACGTCACCCGGCAGACACCCCGCCATATATGACGTGTGGAAGACATTACTGGGACGGTGCAGTGGTACAGTGATGGCACAGTGGTGGTGGTACAGTGGTGGTGGTACAGTGGTGGTGGTACAGTGGTGGTGGTACAGTGATGGTGGTACAGTGATGGCACAGTGGTGGTGGTACAGTGATGGTGGTACAGTGGTGGTGGTACAGTGATGGTATAGTGTTTGTATGTGGTGATGGTAGAAGGGAGAGAAACGCTACCTGTAGAAGGGAGAGACAAGCACTACCTGTAGAAGGGAGAGAGAAACACTACCTGTAGAAGGGAGAGAGAAACACTACCTGTAGAAGGGAGAGAGAAACACTACCTGTAGAAGGGAGAGACAAGCACTACCTGTAGAAGGGAGAGAGAAACACTACCTGTAGAAGGGAGAGAGAAACACTACCTGTAGAAGGGAGAGAGAAACACTACCTGTAGAAGGGAGAGAGAAACACTACATGTAGAAGGGAGAGAGAAACACTACCTGTAGAAGGGAGAGAGAAACACTACCTGTAGAAGGGAGAGAAACACTACCAGAAGGGAGAGAGAAACACTACCTGTAGAAGGGAGAGAGAAACACTACCTGTAGAAGGGAGAGAGAAACACTACCTGTAGAAGGGAGAGAAACACTACATGTAGAAGAGAGAGAAACACTACCTGTAGAAGGGAGAGAGAAACACTACCTGTAGAAAGGAGAGAGAAACGCTACCTGTAGAAGGAGAGACAAGCACTACCTGTAGAAGGGAGAGAAACACTACCTGTAGAAGGAGAGAGAAACACTACCTGTAGAAGGGAGAGAGAAACACTACATGTAGAAGGGAGAGAGAAACACTACCTGTAGAAGGGAGAGAGAAACACTACCTGTAGAAGGGAGAGAGAAACACTACCTGTAGAAGGAGAGAGAAACGCTACTGTAGAAGGGAGAGACAAGCACTACCTGTAGAAGGAGAGAGAAACACTACCTGTAGAAGGGAGAGAAACACTACCTGTAGAAGGGAGAGAGAAACACTACCTGTAGAAGGAGAGAGAAACACTACTTAGAAGGAGAGAGAAACGCTACCTGTAGAAGGAGAGAGAAACGCTACCTGTAGAAGGGAGAGAGAAACGCTACCTGTAGAAGGGAGAGACAAGTACTACCTGTAGAAGGGAGAGAGAAACACTACCTGTAGAAGGAGAGAGAAACTACCTGTAGAAGGGAGAGAGAAACACTACCTGTAGAAGGGAGAGAGAAACACTACCTGTAGAAGGAGAGAGAAACACTACCTGTAGAAGGGAGAGAGAAACGCTACCTGTAGAAGGAGAGACAAGCACTACCTGTGAAGGGAGAGAAACACTACCTGTAGAAGGGAGAGAGAAACACTATGTAGAAGGGAGAGAGAAACACTACCTGTAGAAGGGAGAGAAACACTACCTGTAGAAAGGGAGAGAGAAACACTACCTGTAGAAGGAGAGAAACACTACCTGTAGAAGGGAGAGAGAAACACTACCTGTAGAAAGGAGAGAGAAACACTACCTGTAGAAGGGAGAGAGAACACTACCTGTAGAAGGGAGAGAGAAACACTACCTGTAGAAGGGAGGGAGAAACACTACCTGTAGAAGGGAGAGAGAAACACTACCTGTAGAAGGAGAGAGAACACTACCTGTAGAAGGGAGAGAGAAACACTACCTGTAGAAGGGAGAGAGAAACACTACCTGTAGAAGGAGAGAGAAACACTACCTGTAGAAGGGAGAGAGAAACACTACCTAGAAGGGAGAGAGAAACACTACCTGTAGAAGGGAGAGAGAAACACTACCTGTAGAAGGAGAGAGAACACTACCTGTAGAGAAGGGAGAGAGAAACACTACCTGTAGAAGGAGAGAGAAACACTACCTGTAGAAGGGAGAGAGAAACACTACCTAGAAGGGAGAGAGAAACACTACCTGTAGAAGGGAGAGAAACGCTACCTGTAGAAGGAGAGAGAACACTACCAGAAGGGAGAGAGAAACACTACCTGTAGAAGGGAGAGAGAAACACTACCTGTAGAAGGGAGAGAGAAACACTACCTGTAGAAGGGAGGGAGAGCCGAAGAACAACATAATAATAAAAGAAAGTCGAGGAAAAAAGAAAACAGTGACCTACCTTTCCATAGATGACGGTGAGTTTGTCACGCTTCGGGAGGTTGCGTCGGCCCACCAACATGAGTAGGTCAGGCATGAGGCTGTCGAGGTAGTCCAGGTGCTCTTGGTCTCCTCTGATCTCTCGGCTGTCTGAAACATTCCCGCCCCCACTCTGGTTAATGACATCTCTGGCCACACATTGTCCAGCGCCACGCCTATGATTGTGAAGTCACTGTTTTTTCTCCGGATTAAAGATTGTGAATTTAGTTTTTTTTTTTCGGGTTTCAAGATCGGGTAGCCAGTTTATTTTTTTCTGAGTTAAAGATTGTAAAGTCAGTTTTTCGAGTCTGAAGATTGTGAAGTTATCGAGTATATATCATAACAGTTAATAACTTCTGTGGTGATATACTGTTCTCTAACAACTTCCACCATCAGTAATGTTTTCAGCAACAGATTCTTGAACACACACACACACACACACACACACACACACAGCGCACGCGCGCTCGCGCACGCAAGATGTCATAACATTCAATAGATATATTTTGAGGTGAGTATTCGAGCGATGTCGTACAACGTCCAGTTGAGTTAGTAACAGCTGGGGTATTTTGCTGTATGATGACTTTTGTTATTGTCTTATGATGTGTGTCAGATCACTGAGGAGGGACGAAGGGGGAGGGAAGGAGGGGAGGGAGAGAGGGAGGCAGGCAGGCAGGAGGGAGAGAGGGAGGGAAGCAGGCAGGAGGAGGGGGAGGCAGGCAGGCAGGAAGGAGAGAGGGAGGCAGGCAAGCAGGGAGGGAGGAGGGCGGCAGACAGGAGGAAAGGATGGGGGGAGGCAGGAGGGAGGGAGGGAGAGAGGAGGCGGGGAAGGGCAATACGCCTTGTTAGACCAACATTTCTCGTTGGTTTACTTGAGAATCTTTTAACATCAAGTTATTCTGTGAACGATTAATATTTTGCCTTTGCTGTTTATATTTATAACTAATGCCATCTCCCGTCTATGAGTGGGTGACAGTGGCAGTATTAGGTCTACGAGGATGACTGTCAGTGGCCGATAAGTTGTTGCTGGCTTTTACAGAGAATCATTCATCCAGTGCCCGAGTGTTGGGTATAACTGACGTCACAGTAAATTTTAATAAGTTACTAACTTAGTCTCCAGTTAGGTAAGTTTTATGTAGTGTCTCCGAGTTTAAGTGTCCATAACTCCGATAATTTACGTAAATAAATGCCAACGTAATTTTTTTTTTTTTTTTTTTTTATTGGGCACCCCCACATCCTTGTGTAAGGTGAAGCGCAGTAGCGTTTACAGCGCCCAACAGGAAGCATGCTAAGTTCATGCTTGCCTTTGTGTCCTCATGAGTTAAGGGCGTAGAAGCCTGAAGAGTCAGTGGTTTATGTCAAGTTATTGGGAGCTCCAGCAACTCCCTGAATACGAATTCGCAACTTTCGACTTACAACAGGTACCTACTTTACTGCTAGGTGAACAGGGACTAATGGGGGCTAGGAAGTAAGTCCAAACAACTTCCACCGGCCCGGGAATCGAACCCGTGACATCTCGCTTGCGAGGCAAGAACGGTACCGCTTCTACCACCGGTCCCCCGCCAAAGTAATTGTTGTAAACATCTGCCTACTTACACAAGCTGCCGCCGTCAACATTGAATTAAAATCTCAGAAGAGTTTCTTGTTTTAACCATTTATAGGAAAGTGTCGACTACTTCATAAACATTTGAAAGCTTTCTTATCCGATATCGTTTATTTTCTGTCTTCAGTCGTCTGCACATGCGTCTTAGTGTTGTGTACAAGAGTGTTCTATAGTATAGAATACTATAGATAGCCTCTTTCTGCCTCGTTGTGTTGACAGATGAGGGGTGTGATTATTCTACGTTCACAACCGCTAGAAATAAAACAAAAACAAATATTAGTTCAATTTCGGATCAACAAATATGTTAGTCAAAGTCTGCAGAAAATAAAGATGACTTGTAATCATTATTTCTTTTACATATAAAAAATACATTACTACAACAATACCTCTAAAATACAATTACATTACCAGTTCAGGAGTCTAATGTATGTTGTATTGTACCAGTTTTGTCCCAGGGAACAGGTTTCTGGTCTTATTAAACCAATTACGTGGCAACTACTGTTTGATATTGTCTACACTAACCACATTGTCTACACTATAACCGCACTGTCTACATTAACCTCACTGTCTACATTAACCTCACTGTCTACATTAACCGCACTGTCTACATTAACCGTACTGTCTACATTAACCGCACTGTCTACATTAACCGCACTGTCTACTTCTTCTTGTCGCCGTTTCATCATGCAGTTCAGTTTTTCCTTCTGTTATATAAGATTGTATTAACAAATGGGCCAGGTACACGAGGTGGACCAAACACTGTACAAACACACATCTATGGTACACGAGGTGGACCAAACACTGTACAAACACACATCTATGGTACACGAGGTGGACCAAACACTGTACAAACACACATCTATGGTACACGAGGTGGACCAAACACTGTACAAACACACTGTAAATTATTATAACATGGTTGGTTAGGTATAATGGTGTGTGTGTGTGTGTGTGTGTAAAAACATACACATTTGAAATAAAGACATGTTGACATACGTACAGACACAAACAAACAAATACAGCCAGACAAACATACATACAGACAGACAAATATAGACGAATACAGACAGTGAGACAGACACAGGGACAAAATAGACAGAGACAAAAACAGACAGAGGAGGGGATCTACAGTTAGTCAGCATCATAGTCTGTACTTACGGCCTACCAGATCCTTAAACCGTCGACTTTTCTTATCGTCAATTTTCTCAGCAACATCATCCCCTCCATCCTGTTAAGTGTTTAATGTAGAAGAAAGAAAGAAAAACAACATCTAAATAACACTCGGATACGTATGAAGAACTATAGAAGGTATTATTAAAAGAAGTCTTCAAGCATATATTATTCAGTATTGTTAATGGAGGAAAATAACTGCTTGCTTGTGGTAGTGGGGGTTAGATATTTTATATGAAGGAATAATTCGCCTTTTGAGTGAGTTTTTATCAGGATGTGAGTGTGTTGTTAGTCTCACATGCTAGTGCACCCAGGCGGAATATTGTCAATAGTGTGTGTGTGTGTGAGGGGGCGGGCGTAGGCCCACTGGCATGTGGACACGTCCTGGCGCCTACCAACTATTACCCCACTGCCTTGCTGGTTAACCTTGGAAGATATATTGCTACGGGAGTAAATCCCGAACGAAAAATCTGCGGTGGAGCCCCACATCAGGCAGACATGCTTATAGAGCTCCAACAAGACCCCAACGGCGGTATAGGCGGAAGAGGTGACCACCATGGGAACCCAACGACTACAATGGTGGACGAAGGCAATGCATGATGGACAGGCTACTAAGCCGAAACCCAACAAACTGGGCTATCGGCAGTCCATTGCAGCTCTCCTTCTCCCCAGTCGTTACAACACTTTCACCACTGGACCAGGAAAAGGGAGAGCCATCATCCACCTCATCATACCTCTCATCATCATCAAAACCCCTATACCCCCAAAAGTCCCTATGACGACGGGCGAGTGGCGACGGGGACAGGCAGAGATGACTGCCGGGAGTCTCTAGTCACAACTCTGCACATGGGCGGCACAGATAAGATGGTTGTTTATGCACTGGGATCTAGGCAACAGTGCAATCCGGTCCTGTCTGTGCAACTTTCGAAGAGCCACTCTTCTCACCCCACATGGGGAGGGGGCGGAAGTGCCCTAAACATAGCCTGCCTACAAAAAAAATTACTGGGCAACAGCACCCAGTAAAGTCATCCTTATGCGGTCGAAAACACAATCAAAATCGCAGATCCAAGCAAAAACAAGCTATACAACCTCTTATGGTCGCTGCATGGAATATCAGGACCCTTCTGGATACTGGTACAAATGAGCGTCCTGAAAGAAGAACCGCCCTTGTGGCAAAAGAGCTCGCTAGGTATAAAATCGACATAGCAGCCATTAGTGAGTCCCGGCTCCCAGACGAGGGCCAACTCACAGATCGGGGTTCTGGCTATACCTTCTTCTGAAGGTAAGCCTGCTGCGGAGAGAAATTGCATTTATGGAGTTGGCTTCACCATCCGCCAACTCATCCTACACAGGCTAATTGAAATGCTTATTGGGATCAATGAGCGCCTCATGAAGCTCCGAGTCCTACTGAATCACTCACGTCATGCCCTTTTCATCAGTGCACACAAAGGATGCAGAGGATAACATCAGGGCCTTTATGTCGACCTCGACAGAGTGCTAACCTCTATCCCCAGAGAAGATAATGTTGTGCTCCTCGGTGACTTCAATGCCAGAGTTGGCAGAGATGTTGACATTTGGCAGGGAACCATGGGGAGAAATGGACTAGGCAAGTGTTATCATCCCAACGGCCTACTCCTCCTCAGCAAGTGTGCTGCACATAACCTCACTATCACCAATACCTTGTTTAAGCAGGCCGACAAGTTCAAGGGTTCCAGGCAACTCCCACGATCCAAACACTGGCATATCAATGACTACATCATTGTCAGAGAAAGAGATCACCGAGATGCCCAAATATCACCCGAGCCATGCTTGGCTCAGACCACTGTGACACTGATCATCGGCTGGTCAGAGCGAAGCTCTCACTTCACGTCTCCCCGAACATGGGCGGATAAATAACCCGACAACAAATAACCCAAATCCCAGCTGATTGGGATATTCTCGACACTGTCATGACAAAAACCTGCAGAGAGATCCTCGGCCAGATCGAAAGAATACACCAGGACTGGTTTGATGAAAATGACTCGGTACTCAATGTACTCGTCGATGATTAAGTGTGTGTGTGTGTGTGTGTGTGTGTGTGTGTGTGTGTGTGTGTGTGTGTGTGTGTGTGTGTGTGTGTGTGTGCTTGCTTTATTGTATAACGAGAATGGATTGCGTGAAGTTTACGGAGATAATCCAGTTTATTTCACCTGGTGATTAAATACCATAACGCTACCTTGGGGGAATTAGGTTAGTTTAGTTTAGTTTAGTTTAGGTTAGGTTAGGTTAGGTTAAGTTTAGGTTGGTTCACGTTATAGTAGGTTAGGTTTTGATAGGTTAAGTTAGGTTACAATAGCTAAGTTAGGTTAGGTTAAGTTTTGATGGGTTTGGTTTGCATTAAGTTAGGCTAGATTTGATTAGTTTACGTTACATTACGTTACGTTAAGATAAATTAGCGTTTTTAATCATCACGTGAAATAGCCTCGGGTACCTAATCTTCACGAGATCCACTAAATTCCTCAAACTGGATAAACAACATTACTGGAACATCAGGATCTCACAAAATATCCCAACGTCCTCCAGTCATATAGGACTTCCCGCTACAGATATCTACTGCAAAGTGTACCCGGAATTCTCATGAGACTCCTTCGGCAAAGCTTAATCCTGAACTGTGGGAGAAGATCTATCTGACTCACTTAAGCTGTCTCACAGTCATGACTGCCAAGTGTTATGTTACACTGAAGGTTTACCGCCACAAAGAGTGAGTAGATGGTGTTCCCCTAATAGTGAGGATTTATAGTGTGTCTGTGTCTGAAAACTCTGCTTGATACACAGTGATCAGGAGTGGTGTTCAGGTTTCTGTTTGGTGTCTCAGCAGCCACATCACATACTGTATACACCATCAGTTACCACACACACATACACACCACTACCTGGCCGCCACACACACACACACACACACACACACACACACACACACCACTACATGCAGCCACACACACACACACACACACACACACACACACACATACACCACTTGGCCACCACACACACACACATACCATCTGGGAGGAGTTACTACACTACGTGTTTGCTGTTCAACACGTACAATCCTACATTAATCTGTATGTTCACTTATGTTTCCTTTACCTTTTCAATGAAGGCTTTTTTAAACCACCAATGTATGTAATAAGTCATTTATGTCCATGTATATTTTCAGCCTTGCAGAACTTTTCAATAAAACGTTAATTATTATTATTATTATTATATATATATATATATATATATATATATATATATATATATATATATATATATATATATATATATATACACACAACAAGAAAAGTATAACACTACAAAGTTCGTTAGTTGTGGTTAATGAAGCAAATAATCATTGAGGTCACAATCCACTTGACCTCTGACCTTGAGTTTCCAGATGAGCCGAGCGAGGAACCTGGCGAAGTCCGTAGGCTTGTAGTCCGGGAGGTGGTGGAAGAGGGCACACTCCCGCTGGTGGAATGGCTGAGACAGCTCTTGACACAGGTCGCTGCAGTACCACGCTCGTCCACACCCCCCACACCGCCTCAACAACCGGTCCTTCCTGTAGGAGATGTCGACAGTGAATCACCAACACCGCACATCACATTAGCAAGCAGCAGCACACAACACACACAACACTACACAACACACACATCAATACCACACAACACACACAACACTACACAACACTACACAACACTACACACCAACAACATCACAAGGCAGCGAGTCCTGTTATCTAGTCTTGCTGTTTCTTGGTGAAATTTTATTGATATTTATAACATTACTTAATAGTTCGTGATCATTAACTTACATCACCTTGTCTGTTGCGTCTGTTCGTGTGACTGTCTCCATTTCTGTAACTTTGTAACGTAACACAGTACAGTACCTTAATGAAACAACAGCACGAAGGAGGACAACTGAAATACCTGGTATCATTATTATTATTATTATTATTATTATTATTATTATTATTATTATTATTATTATTATTATTATTATCTACTAAAATTGGATGAAACTCTTCCATAGCTCAGATTTATGACAGAACTTATCGTGACGTAATACGAAGCTTACATTACATTACATTATGTTATTTAAACGAGATAACGATACAACTACACTGAGCACGACGGTTGACCTAAAGTACGTACCATCCGTATACCTGAGAGAGAGAGAGAGAGAGAGAGAGAGAGAGAGAGAGAGAGAGAGGGAAGGAAGGGTAGAGAGAGATAAGGAATGAGTGAGAGAGAGGGGGAAGGAGTAAGAGATAAAGAAGGAGTGAGAGGAAGGAATGAAAGAAGCGAGAGATGAAGGGAAGGAAGGATGGAGTGAGAGAAAGAAGAAAGGAGGAAAGGAAGGGGAGAGTAAGAGGGAAGGAAGGAGTAAGAGACAGGCAAGAAAGTAGTAAGAGACAGAAAGAAGGGATGAGAGAGAGATGAAGGGAGTGAAAGAGGAAGGGAACGAAGGAGGAGAGACGGATAAGGAAGGAGTGGGAGAAAGATAAGGAAGGAGTGAAAGAGGTGGAAGGAGAGGAGAGGAGGGAGGAAGGGAGTGAGGGTAAGGGGAAGGAGGAGAGGAAGGAAAGGAAGGAGGAGGAGGGGTAAGGAAGGAGGAGAGAGGTAAGGAAGGAGGAGAGGAGGAAGGAAGGAGGATAAGGGGAAGGAGGGAGAGAGGAAGGAAAGGAAGGAGTGAGAGAGGTAAGGAAGGAGGAGAGAGGTGAGTAAGGAGTGAGAGAGGTAAGGAAGGGGAGGAGGGAGGAAGAAGGAAAGGGAAGAAAGGATAAGGAAGGAGTAAGAGAGAAGTGAGTAAGGAGGAGAGGAGGAAGGAAGGAGGAGAGGGAGGAGAAGGAGTGAGAGGAGGTAAGGAAGGAGTGAGAGGGAGGTAAGGAAGGAGTGGAAGAAAGATAAGGAAGAAGTGAGAGAGAGGTGAGTAAGGAGGAGAGGAGGTAAGGAAGGAGTGAGAGGGAGGTAAGGAAGGAGGAGAGGGAGAAGGGTCACACTGAAACACTGAGAGTATTAGGTTAATGCTTCCCCGAATCTGTGGGTTTCAAAGCAACAGTGAGAACCTTTGAACGTGTGCCAGTAAACACACACACAAACTGACCGAGAAATGACGGGAAGACTCGACGGGGAAGTGGCGGGAAGACACGGCGGGGAAATGGCGGGAAGACACGTAGGGCAAGGGACAGGAAGACATGGCGGGGAAGGGACGGGAAGATACGGCGGGGAAGGGACGGGAAGACACGACAGGAAAGTGGCGGGAAGACTTAACAGAGTAGTGGCGGGAAGACACGTAGGGAAGTGGTGAGGAAAGCAGAGCTGATCCTCACCAAATTGGTTTAAGACCCTCATACGATACTATTTCCAAGTAACTGATGAAGACGAAGAGGAGAGAGAGAGAGAGAGAGAGAGAGAGAGAGAGAGAGAGAGGGGGTAAGGTGAGGTAGAAGCAGAGAGAGAGAGGTAGTGAGAAAAAAAAGAGAAAGAAAGTGGGGGCAGTGAAGGAGGGAAAAACGCAGAGAATAGAAAAAACAAAGAGAAGAAAAAGAGAGAGGGAGAGAGGGAGGTAAAACGAGAGAGAGAGAGAGAGAGAGAGAGAGTGAAGTAACCCCTGAAGATAAAGACAGAGAAACACAGTTAACTAGACAGATAAGTAGATAATGAATATAAGTAAAAATACAGATAGGAATTAAGTTAGGTTAGGTTAGCGTTACCTTATGTTATCCTAGGATTGTTACATCGGGATAGGTTAGATTAGGTTAAATTACGTTAGTTAGTTTATGTTAGGTTAAATTGGCGTTAGGTTTTTGTTTAATCAATAGGTGAATAACCTGGGGTGTCTAATGTTCACGTGATCTATATACACCTTCCTCATATCGTCCAGTCAAGTCATGTCAGACGCGAATGACTAAACCAAACTATATAAATTAAATGACAATAATGCCACACATGCCACTGTCATACATGTCACTAACTTCATTTTGAACTGTGACTAATGTGACAACTTGCGTTACTTATACGTGTGACAGCAGAGAGTGTCATGGTATAGCCGTTCGTATCATCCAGACTGACAACTGAGGTCATTTATTTCCACGACGAGATCTTAACACCATCACCAGCGCGAGCAATCAGTGATAGTTGTGTCAGGCGAACGATCACCCACCTTCTGCCTACACTGACACTTATGGGAGATGCGTGAGGCGAAAGTTTACACAATGAATAATAACAATCATACACACACATACACGAATCCAGACCATGTAGTGGGTAAGTATACACTACCTCATTGATACTCATACAACATACACAGTGATCATACAAGTAGACATATAGGGTTTACAAGAACGCGTACACTCAAGTTGAAATATACACCAAAATATACCATTCTATTCATCAGCATACTCCTGCAGTCGACGAGTATACATAATGACTAACATAAGGGCTAAATTCGTTTCGACATACATAATATATACATTACAGAATCATACATATACAGTACAGAATCATACATATACAGTACAGAATCATACATATACAGTACAGAATCATACATATACAGTACAGAATCATACATGTACACTACAGGATCATACTTAATATAGCACAGAATCATACATGTACAGTATAGGATCATACTTAATTAGCACAGAATCATGCATATACAGTACAGTACACTACAGAATCATACCTATTCAGTTTAGAATCCTGCATAATATAGCACACAGAATAATGCTTAATTCAATACACAGAATCATACATATTAATGTTTGAATGATAAGCGAAAGACCTAACCTACTCTAACCTATACACAGAGTTGTATCTTACGTACACGAAAGCCTGGACACACGGCCTCTGGTGCTCTGCCAAGTGACGTTACCATTTCTTCAGTATTTACCCTCCGGGTGTGTGTGTGAAGGGTTGTTTGTGTGTATGTGGGTGTTTTGTATCTGGAACGTGTTTGTCTCTTTGTGAAGGTGTTTGTGTATGTGAGTGTTTATGCCTATAGGGTATGTAAGGGATGAACGTGTTTGTGTGAGGGGGAATGTGTATATAGGAGGTTTGTGTAAGGGAGATGTATTTGTGCATGTTACCGCCACACATACAGTAGTGGCAGTAAACTGTTCCGTCTCTCTACTACAAAACGTCTTAACGTAACTGTTTTTGGAAATATTTTTTATTTCACTTATATATATATATATATATATATATATATATATATATATATATATATATATATATATATATATATATATATATATATATATATATATATATGTGTGTGTGTGTGTGTGTGCTGTATATTACAGAGGCAGTAGCTGCTGGTCGTGTTTGTGGTGAGTCGGGAGTCATAAGTCGAGGTTGAGGATGTTAGTGTGTTTGTCCAGCAAACAATGGACGGCGGCGGCCACCGACGTGTTCCTCTATACAGGACTGTTGTCGACAGTAGTGACAATATTTTTAAACTTCTGACTTCATTAAACATCATACAGAAAGCTCGAGAGAAGAGACATGATAACAGTCTTAGAGAATAATACAATTAAAGTAATAAACTGATGGTGACAACGATATTATAGCGTTATTTAGTGTTGTTACATCAGTAAACATAAACAGCAGAGAAGATATTATTTATGTTATTATTTTATCAGCTCGAGATCTTATATACAGGTAAATATATACCGATTAGCCCAACACATGTGAAAACTTTAATAATTGTAATAGTTGACCTTGAGTGTGTTGGACGGGGATGGTGGATGTTGATGGTGGACGATGATGGTGATGGTTGACGGGGATGGTGGATGATGATGGTGATGGTTGACGGGGATGGTGGACGATGATGGTGATAGTGGACGGTGATGGTGATGGTGGACGATGATGGTGGATGGTGATGGTGCGCAGTGATGGTGATGGTGGACGGGGGAAGTAGCCGAGTGGAAGGTGAGATCAGTTCTGCTTCCCATACTCTTCTTCGTGAGAAAATGGCCGCCAATCTTTTTAAAAATATATTATTAAATTTGTCTGGTTTACCTACTTTATATAAGACTTGTGGTTTACTTACTCTCAATAATGAAATTCAGACTAAATTCAAATTTGTCCTGACTGAGGCTGATCAGATACGACCGCCCCCCGCCCTCACCACCCACTACCCATTTACCTCTCTCCCCACTCAATACCCACTCCCCGGTCCTCACTATCCACCACTCACTCCCTTTCGCTCACTACCCACTCCATCCGCCCTCACCACCTACCACCCATTCTCCGCCCTCATCACCTACCACCCACTACCCCCTTAGCTACACACTACCCACTCCCCCACCATCTACTCTCTTGCCCCCACCACCGCCTCATCTTCCCTGCACTAGGTGTGTCAGCCCTTAACATGAACATGTCTACAATAATCATGGAATGGAAGACCTACCCGACGGAGATGAGGCAGTACCTACCTGACGGAGGAGAGGCAGTACCCACCTGACGGAGGAGAGGCAGTACCCACCTGATGAAGGAGAAGCAGTACCCACCTGATGGAGGAGAGGCAGTACCCACCTGACGGAGGAGAAGCAGTATCCACCTGGCGTTGGAGAAGCCTACCCACCTGACGAGGAGAGGCAGTACCCACCTGATGAAGGAGAAGCAGTACCCACCTGATGGAGGAGAGGCAGTACCCACCTGACGGAGGAGAAGCAGTACCCACCTGACGGAGGAGAGGCAGTACTCGCAGTAGCGGCCCACCACGGAGGAGGCCAGGAGGGTGCAGAAGGGCTTGGAGGTAAGAAGGACATCGCCCCTCTTAACAGGTTTCTTGGCTAGAAGAGCCTGAGCCCTCAGGCTGACGTAGTCCCTCATGCTGCCACCACCACTACTACCACACTACCACACACCCGCCACACACCACCTGCCACGGGGCACTGCCCGAGCTACCCCTCTATCCCGCCTACCTGCCCCAAGCTCCCGCCCACACACACACACCTCCACCACTACACACACACCTCCCACCACTACACCATCCACCACTACACACACACACACCACCACCACACACACACACACACCTCACCACTACACACACACACACACCTCCACCACTACACACACACACCTCCACCACTACACACACACACACACCTCCACCACACACACACACCTCCACCACTCACACACACACACCTCCCACCACTGCACCTCCACCACTACACTCACACCTCCACCACTACACACACACCTCCACCACTACACTCACACCTCCACCACTACACACACACCTCCACCACTACACTCACACCTCCACCACTACACACACACCTCCCACCACACACACACTCACACCTCCACCACTACACACACCACCACTACACTCACACCTCCACCACTACACACACACCTCCACCACTACACTCACACCTCCACCACTACACACACACCTCCACCACTACACTCACACCTCCACCACTACACTCACACCTCCACCACTACACTCACACCTCCACCACTACACTCACACCTCCACCACTACACACACACACACCTCCAACACACCAATTTTATCTCAGCTATACAATACAAGGATAAAATCAAAATACGGTACCGACCCGTAAATAGAAATTTTTTAATATAATACAGCATCGAGACCTATCCTAACACAATCTACCACTAATTAGGTTAGGTTAGGTTTGGTTAGGTTTGGTTAGGTTAATGTTTTGTTTTGTTTTCATCGTTTTCGGTGTTTGAGTCGTAAAGGATATTTTCATCTTGATAAATTCCATTGTTCGATGTTTACATTTTTAGGTTCGATAAAATTAAGTTAGGTTGTAAGGCTGAGCTAGGTTAAGTTAGGGTATTTTGGAAGTTGGTTAGATTGAGCAAGTTTCAATATTGCCATTTTAATTTATAGTTACAGAATAACTGCTAAGGAAACACCATCTCAATGTCGTAGTCGTCCATGTCAACAATATACTTGGTTCCGATCCCAATGTAACTACAGTCTCCATTATTTCTTACGTCACATTGTTTACAGTCCAATCCCACGGAACTACTGAAATGTGCTACTTATAAATCTTTAGTAATACATTGTAAGGTTTTAAAGAAGGATACAAGACTCATATATATTCAGTTGTGAATAACGTGAGACACTACTGCAGACGTTGGTGTGTGTGTGTGTGTGTGTGTGTGTGTGTGTGTGTGTTGTCAGTGGTCGTGTGACAGATGATTGTGTCTTCCAGTGAGGGGAGTGATGTAACACTACTGACTCACTGGGGGACACCTTAACATAAGACGTGACATAATCTCTGATCTATAAGACCTTAAGCGAGAATTAGAATTGAGAATCGTTCTAACACAACACCTTTACATTAAACCTGACGTGACCTACATAGCGAGACCTGACGCACTGAGAGTTTGTATACTAACAGACACAATCCATCTTTGGTGCTCTCACGTCTCCTCACTACCACAGTAAATAAGTTCATAAAACCACAATACAATTATAAAAAAGGGAGACAAATCCCTCAAGCTCAAATTATTAATTCTGTTAAATTATATCACTCGGGAAAGCAGCGGCCGAGGAATGTATACAGCGCTCGCCATCTGTCCTAACTGTCGCTAGTTCGCATTCAGGGTCGACCCAGTTCATCCAGCTGTAGATGGGTACGTACCTTTACAGTTGGAGAAATGAATGGCGTCGAGTACAGTGCCGACCACGTTGGTTCTTTGTGTGCCCATGGTTTGGTCCCCCTAACAGGCTATCAGGCTTTGGGACGCATTTTCACTTTTCACTCTTCCACTCTACCCTAAGCTAGTTTAACCTTCACTATGTTAACCTAACCTAACATTACAATAGCATACACACTTCTAGCCTAATCTAGCCCAACATCACCACATCATACACTATCCTAACCAAAGTGATCCCAACCCTCTCCACAATAATCTAGAGAAACCCTAACCTATTCTCTACGTATAAATAATAAATGTTCATAAAGAATTCAATAAAGAAAGGGAGGATACAGAACGGCGGACATGAAGAAGAAAGAGACTAAAAGTGGACTTGGAGTAAGGAGAGAGGCACTACCATGGTCGCTCCTATACTTAGAATACCCTCGTGAGTCAGTCAGTCGTTGAGGTGATTAACTAGTATTTAGTCAAAACAAACAATAGACGTAGCAAACCCTGTGGGAAGGGGAAGGGGGACGGGAGAATAAGGGTAGGGAGGTGGATGAAAGGTGGAGAGGGGATGGAGAAAGAGGAGGAGGAGGAAGGGTGCAAATAGGGTAGGTGACAGCGTCGACACCTATGCTGTGAAAAGTAAACATTGTGGTCGATCTCCCTTCCTCTGTGACCGACTCCCTCCTTCTTTGACCGACTCCTTCTCACTGTGACCGACTCCCTCCCTCTTTGACTGACTCCTTCTCACTGTGACCGACTCCTTCCTTCTTTGACCGACTCCTTCTCACTGTGACCGACTCCCTCCTTCTTTGACCGACTCCTTCTCACTGTGACCGACTCCTTCCCTCTGTGACCGACTCCCTCTCACTGTGACCGACTCCCTCCCACTGTGACCGACTCCCTCCCTCTGTGACCGACTCCCTTTCGCTATAATAGACTTCCTACACACGCCCAACGTAGCACAAGGATGAGCTGGACAATATCGAACAGGATAAAATCTTACGGGACAGGACAACATTCCTCCTCTGAAACAACGAAACGAGAAAACTTCCCACCAACATCTCGCGCTGATAGTGTTGGTGGTCCTGATGATGCCATTGTCACATGTTGCATAAGTTCGCTAGTTGTCGTGATGATGAAGTATCAATTGAATAATATTTAGGGGTTATGTTTATTAGTTTCTATATGCTTTACAGGGTATATACATCAAATGTAAGCCATAATAATCAATTGAGAAATATTATATCGCTTTATCATTGAGTGGTGAAGAATACACGGGTTGGTGGTGGTAAGAATAGAGTAGATATTAATAATCAACAGGGTTTTGTGACCACCTGTTGCCCCGTGAAGTATTATTAGCCCACCCAGGAGCCGTTAGTGACCTTGCTACGTCACGTTCTCATCACCCCTGCTAGTCACACTTGTCATGTCACGTACTCATCACCCCTGCTAGTCACATTTGTCATGTCATTTCTTCACTACTATCGCTTTGTCACATAAACTGTCATGACCTCATCACATCTGTCATGCTAAGGGTCACCCATACACATTGTAAGTTGATATAATCTCTTGACAAAACTATAACAACATTGTATTTAGACTGTGACTGTCATGCCTGGTCTGACTCCCTTGACACCCGAATGTTTTATACAACCAGACGCTACACAACACTGGAGCTTATCAGAGGTTCAAAGTTGACACGATATTGTTTTAGAACCACTGTGTGTGTGTGTGTGTGTGTGTGTGTGTGTGTGTGTGCGTGTGCGTGTGCGTGTGCGTGTGTGTGAAGAAGAAGGCGTTTATGGATTTTAAAGGTCCGAACATCAGCGCCACGTTAACTTTGAACACCTGAAATAAAGCCGGTGTTAGGGAGATATACCTGTAGATCACCCCAACACACCTGAATTTCAATTTAAGTTCGGGAGTTTAAACTTGGCATGGCACTGATCTGCGGCTCCCATAGACACACTACACACACGGTGTCGTGCCAACCCTAAATCTCTGGTATGATCCCTTAATACCGTTTATGTATAAATATGTTCCAGCCATGGCCATGAAGCGCTGACGAGAGTGTCATGTGACTCCCCTGCCGCCTGACACTGACTGCTGACACAAATAGTCAACCATCTATCAACTCCCTCATTATTCACCATTTTAGCCAGTCACCCAGATGGTTAAACTCGTTTCTCGAGCCTTTAAAGATTTCTTCTGCTACAACCAACAGCTTCTTTGACTGTAACAGCATTATTATTGTTTACATTCCCGAAATTTATGGTGAAGGCAGACACAGAGACTAGCTCCTCCACACCCATCCCGTTTACAAGAATCTCGTTTCAGTTTTATGGCGAGGAGAATAAAGTTCGTGCCATAAAAGATCGCCAGTGTAGACAGAAGGCGGACGAAGATTAGTCTGGCGTAGTGTTCATAAGGGTATCACTGTAGGAGGGAAGGAGACGTCAGTTCCTGCTGTGGTTGCTCGTGTTGACTGTCGAGATAAAGTAAGGGATTGTACTGAGGTGCTCCGCCGCCCACCACTCTCACACTCACGTCTACAACATAAGTCTTTCAGCCTCATAATTATAAGGAGCTATTATCTAAGACACAAGTATAGTATATTCTTTATTGTTGGTAATTAGGTCATCCTTATCCTACCTTAATGTTGTAGAAAGAAAACTGTGTGGAAGGACTGACGAATGGATTGATCCACACACACACACACACACACACACACACACACACAATGCACTTAGGTCACAAAGTTATCCCAGTACCCTCGCTTCTTCCTTGCCGTGGGGGTGTAGCTGGAGGGGATGATAATTGTTTGGATCCTGACCAAAACAAATGTAACCTACCACCATCTTGTATTTTGGTGCCACTGAAAAACCCGTCATCGATAATAAGATGGATTCTCATCCCCCGGAATTTGTTCTTCCTGATAATAATAACAACTTGGGTCCTGGTTCCCCTGAAACTTCAGTGTCTTCTAAGAATAGCGATAATACCCAGAACTGTAGGGGCGCAGCACCATAGCGAGCAACACGTACCCTCCGCCCGTGGCTAAGATTAGCTGGTATCAGTGACAGGGACAGGGACTCCCGGGAGTTACGCCCAGTATAAAGGCGTAATGTTGATTTGTTTTGGCGCGTAATTTATCTTGATGTTAACAAACACAGCGGTGTGAATTAAAACAGGTATAATGTTAACTCTCTTGCCCAGATAATGGATAAGAATGATGAA